GACATTAAGTTTCATACACACACATACACACACACACACACACACACACGTATGTATATGTATATGTGTAGGTGCATATCTTCTCTCTCTATACCAATGACTGCATCTCAAAAGAACCCTCTGTTAAAATACTCAAGTTTGCAGATGATACAACAGTGATTGGTCTCATTCGAGATGATGATGTATCTGCATACAGACAGGAGGTTGAACAACTAGCCTTGTGGTGCAACCAGAACAATCTTGAACTAAATACACTCAAAACCATAGAAATGGTGGTAGGCTTTAGAAGAAACCCTCCTATACCACCACCACTTACAATACTAGACAACACAGTACCAACAGTAGAGACCTTCAAGTTTCTAGGTTCTATCATATCTCAAGACTTAAAATGGACACCTAACATCAAAAACGTCATCAAAAAAGCACAATGAAGATTTTTTTTCTGCACCAACTCAGAAAGCTCAAACTGCCCAAGGAGCTGCTGATCCAGTTCTACAGAGGAATTATTGAGTTTGTCATCTGCACCTCTATAATGGTCTGGTTTCGCTCTGCAACCAAACAAGACAGACACAGACTTCAACGAATAATTAGAACTGCAGGAAAAACAATTGCTTCCAACCTTAGATATATGAAGATCCCGTGAAGTGTTGATACTGCTTTATACTGAACTGGTGAAGACACACTTGGAATGTTGCTTCTAGTTTGGGTCACAATGATAAAAAAAGTGTTGAGATGCTAGAAAGAGTGCAGAAAAGAGCGATAAAGATGATTGGGCTTCTGGAGGCTAAACTGTATGATGAACAGTTGTGGAAAGTAGGTATATCTGTCCTGTCAAAGAGAAGGATTAAAGGTGTCACGATAGCTGTCTTTCGGTACTTGAGGGGCTGTCCCAGAGAGGAGGGCTTGTCGGCCTATTCTTCAAACTATCAAGCAAGCTGGCAGATCTTTAAAGAGAGATGGAAACTTATCAAGGAGAGACCCAACCTAGAATTAAGGAGAAATTTCCTGATACTGAGACAATTAACCAGTGGAATGGCTTGGCTCCAGAAGTTGTGGGTGCTCCAACACTGGAGGTCTTCAAAAAGAGACTGTACAGCCATTTATCCAGAATGGTATAGGTTCTCCTACTATGGGCAAGGAGTTGGACTCAGAGGTAGCATATTCAGCAGGTTCTGACCACTTCTGGAGAACCGATAGCGGAAATCTTGAGTAGTTCGGAGAACCAGAAAATCCCACCTCTGACTGGAGGTTTTAAGTATCCTTCCCCTGCCAGGCCCACCAAGCCATGTCCATAGAACTGGTAGTAAAAAAAAAATCGAATCCCACCATTGGTTGGACTAGAAGACCTCCCTTCCAATTCTGTTATTCTATGTTTTTGTTCTATTTTCTTCCAGATCATTTTGACCAAAGCATGGAACCTGTGCTAGAGCTACCAAAGGCCTTGGAAGAGAAAGCGGACTCACCAGGTGATCACGGAAGCCAGGATCCCACCTTTCTCAAAGGAGGCAACGGGGCAGCTGTCCAAGGGCAGCCTTCACCCTGTGGCGAAGAGCCTCCGTGCCAGCAGCTCTCCTTCCGACAGGAGACCCTGGACCAGCAGGTCTTGGAGTACATGGAGGTGGCTCTTTTCCTGAGCCCAGAAGAACAGCAGAGGCGATGGCTTGCTATTCTGACCACTTTTCTGAAGGTTAGTTGGTTTTCACATTATTGGATATTTTCAGCAGAAGGACGTCCAGCTGATATCCATAACAACAAAGAAAAAAGGGAAAAAGCAGAAAGGAAATGGCCTACCTGAAAGGGCCTCGGGAAGGTGGCGTTTTACGTCCGTTTGGAATCAGCAGCTGGTTTCAGGTTGGGAGGCAGCGTCATTCAGTGGATTGTTTAAGAACTGCTTGATGGGACAAGGACCCATAGAGGGAACCCTGGAAGTCTTGGAAATGTTTAGCAGAGAGAGGAAACTAAAGCTGCCTTCAGGTAGTGCTGCAGAATTTCTTTAGTTCCATTCCACTCTTGCGATCTCTCCTGTCGTTATTGTTACTTCATTTACTTTAACACAGGACAACATTCAGGCCTGTGTAAAGGGACCTAGACTTACTTCACCCGTGATTGGTGCTGTGGAAGTGTCAACCTTTTGCTGAGCTGAAGCCAAAAAACACCGGTTTTCAAGTCAGCTACATTTGCACTTGATTTTAAACTTATTTTTTTTATCAGTTGTTCCTTTTTAGATGGATTTTGGGATAACGGTATGATTATGGCGGCTGAGTTGTTGAGGATCATGCAAGCTCAGCTTCATAACACCACAGAAGTATTTTTGCTACAAATGATGCCATGGATCAGATGGAGCTGAACAGGGGTTGTTGTTAAGGGTTCATTAACAGAATGTGGCAATGTTGCTTAGCTGTGGCTTCTAATTAGCAACGAAGGAGCAATTTGCACTCCCTCTGCCTAAACTTGCTGACCAACTTCCAAGTTCTTTGTACAAAAAGTTCCTTAAATCCAGCATGGACCTAAGAGAACGCTGCACCTAAACGGCAGCACACAAACGTTTCATACCGCTAACATTTCAGAATATTCTCCTTTTGCTTGATCTGATTTGTGACGATTTAAGCTTTGGTGGTTTTCTGTTGTAGTCTGTTGTATTTTTATACTGGTGGCTCATAACCAAAAAACAACTGTAAAAGTACAGCTGACCAGACCAGCAATTGTGTTGGGAGTTACTGGCCTAAAATTAATGAACTTATTTAAAGTGTTAGGGCATATTTGAATTAACACCCAGTGTATATGGAGAAATGGGGCTGCATGTCTCCTTTCTCTCTATTGTTCACCAGTTCAAAGCTGTTTGATGGACACATGCTGGTGAGCTACAGATCCTCAAAGGCTATAAAGATGGGTTGGGCCTCCTCAGCGTGCCTTTCAGTTGAGAAGGCGGCCCTGGGGAAAGCAGCCACTGGGACGGTCCAGGTGCTGAGCCTGGCCTGAGTAGGGATGTCCAATTGAAGATGGCTGTTTGGATGACCTAGTTGGCTTCTCTGGCTCCAGGAGAACCCATCCTGGAAGGTGCTGGGAATGCAGTAGTTGTTAGAAAGCCAGGGTAGTTATCCTACTTTCCTCAAAGAAGGACAATCCTGAATTAAGAAGCTTCCAGCTAAGAATAAAAATCAGTCAGGGAAAAAAATCATTCTGGTAGGGAAAATTACCAAGTCAATGCATTGAATGACATTTTTTTTGACATTACAAAAAAATGTTTTAGGCCTGTGAGCAGTCAGATGGCAGCATCAATTTTCCAAATATCCAGCTTTTAGCAAGTGAAACTTCGAGTTTTCTGGTGAAAGAAATCAAGAAGAAAATGAATGGAAACTCAGTAGGTGAGCCTCTTTATGTATTTGACCTGCAGCCCCCTCTCTGCTTTCTGCTTTATCTTCTTGTTGAAAAGATCCGTGCCGGCTGTGTCCACCAGCAGGCATTAAAAACTCTTGCCTTTATAGCTCTGTTTTGTTCAGGCCGGGTCAGGATACCAGTTCATTCCTTTAGGGCACGACAGAAGGAACGATGAGCATACGGAACGGGAGACTTCTGTAAAAATTGTAAGCAGCCACAGACTAATAGCGGAACAGGACAAGAAGATTAATCTAGTACTAGATATGGCTGCAGGGGAAATTCTCAGAGTTGGCAAGGAGCCAGGAAATTATGCTGCTTTCCCAGAACGGCTCTAATGTAGTGTCTGCTTTATACGGCAGTTGTTTCTGGTGTGTTGAATGGATTTCTGAATGGTTGGTGGTAAGCACGCATGCAGAGCGTAATGGTGTTCTGCAGCCGCGTGGTTCTTCATGTTTGCCTGGAGTCCATCTCCACTGGCCCCTCTGCCACCATTCACTGACCCTCTTGTTCCTTTCTTGCATGGTGTGAATATTGGCTGCCACAAGAACAGAAGACGCTCGACTGCTTGTGTGGCAATTTCTGCAGTGGAAGGGAGAGCTGGATTCTGATGGTTACCTGCTGCTAAAATCAATCTACTCTCTTTCACTCTACACCTCGGTAAGAGAAAGACTTAAAGAATTTAAGGATGTGTATTTTCAACAACATAGTCCCTGTGGGCTTTCTTACTGCTGGCAAAATGGAGGATTATGTTTGAAACAAGAGACCTGCTTCATCTTATGGGCATCGATGCTCCAAGAGTGACTCTTGGGGCAAAAGCCACGGTTTTAGTGGTATGGCAGCTGTGCCAGCTTGTCTTCCGTTATTATTGAGGGCTCTTTTAAGACCAATAGGTGTTCTGGAAATTACGGCTGCCTTGGCTGCATAGAGTAGGACAGAGTTGAGTTTTCTGGATTATTGCTCGGGAGTTGAGCGGGGAGGCAGTACACAAGCAATCAGGCAACTCCACACCATGAAGGAGCTTTAAGTGCCAACTGTCCAAATTACTTTAACAGTCCAGTCAATTTTGGAGAATAAGAGAACCTGATGAACAACAAGCCACTTCCATTTAAACACTTTCCATGAAGGTACAGAACTTTTAAGATCACTGTATGTGATCCCCACCCCCATATATAAATGTGTTTTTTTTAATTCTAGAGTTTATTGGGTTTCTGTTGTGATAATGAAGCTGGAATAGTAATTTGGAATGTTTAGACACTCAGAATACCAAACAGGTTGCAGACCAGCAGCTCTGAGAAGGAGAAGCTACTAGTCTGGGGTGAAATTCAAAAAAAAAGATAAGTCAGGACAGGAAACACAGAAATAAAGAACAAATTTGCAATTGAAATTTAAATTGAAAACTTCATATGCTATAAAATAAAAACTTACTACAAAAAAGAAAGAAAGAAAGAGGAAAGAACCGGCAAATAATGGAAGAAAACAGAGAAGAAGGTGGACACCAAACTTTGGAAAAAGTACCAAAAGAAAAATTGCAAGAGGAGCTCAATAAGAAAATCCAGAACAATGACCTGTGCTGCTTTTCTGATCAGTCTTATTTTTTCTCACTAAAAATGCTCCCTAAAGATTCTGAAATTAGCATCAAACATGGTGTGCTTTTTCTTTGGGGCAGGACCAGGAAGTCCGCTGGAGTTTAATCAAGTCTGGGTTGCCTGTGACGATGCTGCAGTGCCTCCACCTCTTCTTCGTATCTCCCCTGGATGCGGCTCCTGGGGGCAGGGAAGAGGAGGACCAGGCCCCACAGAAGACCCAAGACATGCTGGTGCAGGTGGGTTAGTGGCAGCTGGACCTTGAAGGGCCATCTAAAAATAGACTAGAAAAGGATGTTTTGTTTGTTAGGATTCCGGCAGTTACTCCAATTAAATCATGAACCTCGAGCCACACTCCCAAACCTTGAAAGAATTTATTAGAAGTTAACATGTCGGCATTAGCCTGGGTGTAGCCGACTCTGAGATACATAATTCACTGTCACCCTTGAACCTGCTTTTCCCCCCACCCCTCTGGGTGTATCATCCAACAAAACACATCCATAGCCAAGAGTCATCAATCATGCTCTCCAATTAGATTTTTGCATGGCAGAAGCTTCAATCATCTAATCAGTCTCTGAAGAAAATATGAATGGAATGTACTTTCGATTCCACACTGCTGCCTGCTCTTTGAAACACCCCCCCGCCTTCTGTTGACAACTATAAAAATGTATACAAAATGTTTTATGAGTTGACATTGTTCTTTAAAAAAGGATATCCAGGATTTGCTTGGCAAGTTTTATTTGAATCAAATAGTGGCATTATTGTTCTTATTTGCTTTTAGACAATGGTCAATATTTATGCAGAGAAACAAGGAGTGGAGATGCTTCTCATGTCCAGCCATCTTAAATCTTTGATCCTAGCCAGATCCTCCCTCTGGGATCAAGGCAGCCCTGCTTGGAAACAGCCTACAAGCCAAGTGCTACGGACGATTTCAAAGGCCCTTTCGGAGGCCACCATTTCATACCTGCAAGGTAACGGGGCCCTAATTTCCCCTGTCCTCAGTTCACGAGGACTCAGCCTCTGTGGAGCCCCTCATCCTTGCTCCCTTCATGACCCATGGGAGGGAGGGGGGCTTGTCAAGACGTCTTTGTCTTAATTCTTCATAATTACAAATGATTCTTTGTTTTCTAATGGAGCACAGTTGCATCCCCTCTCGCCTTTCCATCCACTGTCCTCTCTCTGTTTTGCATTATGTGTTTTTCTTTCCTTAAATGCGCAGGTGCAGTTTTACCTGCAAGAGCCTGATAATTGTTTCTAAATTTTCTGTGCAAAACATTTTCTGCGCCTCTTGCTTTGTGGATGTTACTTCCATGCAGGGAGGAAGCTTCTTTGCTGGACTGCATTCATGGAAGTTGTTTCTGTTATCCACTTACCTGGCACTCCGCTCTTGGAATTGATAAAAACCAGGGATGGGATTCAATTTCTTAACAACCGGTTCTGTGAGCGTGGCTTAATGTGTGGGTGTGGCTTGCTGGCGGGGTGGGGCTTGGTGGTCATGTGACTGGGTGGGTGTGACCAACTCAATGTCACTCACCTCAAGGGGTGCCTCACCTGGCCCCTCCCCTCCCAGCATTCCTTGTCACACCCAGCCTCAACTTTATAGTTCTGTAAAAATGCTGTTCACCATTTTTTGACTTTATTATCTACGTGCTAGAGACGTACTTTCATGGGCCACTGAAGGGAGGAAATGGCTCACATGCTTTGCTCAAGAGTGTGACAGGCAACAGGCTTTTAAGGGGCTGCCAGAAAGAGGGGGAGGGGAAGGCAAACAAGAAGCAATGGATGGAAACTGAACAAAGAAGCAACAACCTAAAACTAAGGAAACATTTCCTGACAGTGAGCACAATTAACCAGTGGAACTGCTTGTCTCCAGAAGTTCTGGGTGCTCCAACACTGGAGGTTTTTAAGAAAAGACTGGACAGCCATTTCTCTGAAATGGTATAGGGTTCCCCCCAAGGTCCCTTCTAGGTGTTATTCTGACACCTTTCCCAGGATCTTCACTCAGAGTTTGGCATCCTCAGTTTTCCTGCCTGAGCAGGGGGTTGGACTAGAAGACCTCCATAATCCCTTTTAACTCTGTTAAACACACATGTATTTATGCTCTGGACTATAGACATGTAAACCCTGAAAAATACCTGGGCAAAAGATAAGCAGTAAAATCACTCTAGGTGTAGGGACAGTGCAAAATATTAATATATGATAAATAAAGGTACAATTAAAAATAATAGCACAGAGTTTTCTCTCTCCCCCCCCTTCCTTCCAGTTTCTTTCTTTCTTTCTTTCTTTCTTTCTTTCTTTCTTTCTTTCTTT